AGACCTGGGGGTGCGTGAAGGCTGAATTTATAATCTTTGGATTAGACGCTGCCAAGGAACATCTCTATGAAGTTCCAGCCTCCTAGCAATGCGCCGTTCCTGAAAACGCTTTCCCGCCAAAAAAACTTTCACGTTCTCCACGTGGGAACCACGTGGACCTGAGCGTCCATTTTGAGGTACGAGTCCGCACGTATGCGCAGATTAAGTCACCAAATCTTCAACCTTGTAGCTCTTGAGGATCTCGAGATGAAAACTCGTTACAGACGAACACACAGACAGACATACATACACACATACATACATACATACAGACACACAGATACACAGACAACCCCTCGACAATATGCGTTTCTGCATTGCATAGCCGCAAAAAACGCATAAAAAAATGACAACCTGTGAAGAATAAACAAAAAAACTTCTGTGGTAACATCACCTTAAGGTCAAGATGATGTGCATCAAGTCTGTGTTTCTATACGAAGCTTCTCTCCCTATTTTAATCAAATTCAAGCAGTAAACTAGTTAGCAAACTTGATAAACATATAAGCTATACTCATATCTTCTGCGTAGATACTATAGACAACATAACTTCATATCAGTAACCATAAGCTTAGAACAAAATGAGAAGCAAGTTAAATTTGATGTTCTTCGAACAACAATCCTTCATCTCCTTCGCCTACGTTGACCTATTCTAAAATTTTAACCTTTAAGTACCAAATTTTCATATTTTGATTCAAATTGGTGTTTTCCATGCAAACCCGCCCTACACTTTATATTTTTATAAGCGCCTACACAGAGCTACATGAAGTGATGAACCCAGAACTGGGTAGACTGAAGAACTCCACAAATACAACGATAGCGAGTACTACGGCAATGTTCCAGCAACTGTTCAAATTACTGGAATAGACTGGCCAGCGTGGTGCAGTGGGAAGTATCACTGTTGTCGTGTCGGCTGGTCGAGAGTTCGACTCCACCGATGGGAATCCATCTACCGTTCCTTTATTCGTTTCGAGGAGAATGTTCGGTTCATTATCATCTTTCTTGTAAGCAACCCTCGAAAGAGGAAGAATCATCGACAGCAATGGTGATTTCTGCTGGCACGTGCTAACAGCCGAGCACTTCGTCTCTCACAGAGAGCGAATACAGAATGCGTCTTGATGTTTAAAAAATGTGTGCAAAATGCTCAGAATGTCCGAAAAAAGACAGATTTCACACCGCCTTCACCGGGGTAACCATACCTGTTTGCAAAATTTTCAATAAATGGAGAATACCTCGTCGGACTCTTCAGCAACGGTCTTTCTTTGTCAAAGTCATAAAACTGTTGCCAGTAGTCGCGTGGTAAGTCCAGTAGAGCCAATACCACCGCAATCTGAAATGGAAAATTTTTGGAGGATGGGAAAATTCCAGTTTTTCGAAATCGTATGGTACCAAAAAAATGACAAAACCTGTTTTGCCACTTCATCAGTCTTTTGTGTCATACTTAGTGGTCGTGCAGATACATGGCCGACAATTGTTGGAGCAATACAACGGGCCAAAACTTTTGGAGTCATCTTGTTTAGTGTACTATTTTCACAGACCTGGAAAATTTTCTGATAATTTCTACAGGAAATCTCTAGAGAAGTGAATATATTGCACAAAAATGTAATAAAACACAAACCAGTTGGAAATGGGCACAGAGAAATGCGAGGGTATCGCGATTCGGGTAAGGTAGTTCCATCACAGAGCGAGTCAATGCCTCAATATCACCGGCTTCCGCGGCATTCACAAATTCATCCCAAGACGAAGCCGGGATTACTGGTTCCTGCAAAGCGGTTCTGGCTGACTGCTGACTTTACTTTGTACTGTCCTCTCAGTCTTTTTAGTTCCAGCTTTTCTCAGTTTTTTCCCGAGAACTAAGCAAAAAAATCCAACTATATTTCATTTCCGTTGACAGAAGCAGCATTTTAAAAGTGATCAAAATGACTGCAAAATTAAAGTGCTAGAATGTTTAAAAAAACAAAAAAATTTGCGTGAAATTCTAAAGACGGCACGTAAAAAAAAAAGGCAAAAGGGATGTCAGTATCGCCAGCAAGCTGACTTTCAAGTGAAGCAGAATTAGTTAAAAAAAGTGAAAAAGTTACCAACTCATAGAAAGTTGTTAAAGAATCAAACTAGGAATTATAGCTGATTCGAATATCCTAAACATATAAGAAAATTGGGATGAGATGA